ATACCTCCCTGCCCCACTTTTCTCCACATATGAGTATACCACACTACATCTTTCATAAAAGTTGTTGCACCAGTTACATTACTGTTGGCACATTATGAGAGTTCCAGATATTCTATGTCTTTGCCAGTACTTGATATTGTCAAACTTTATTTTTATCCATTCTCTTGGACATATAGATCGATCAGCTGCCTGTATTTCATTGTGGTTTTAATTTATACTGCCCTGATTTGTAATGGCCATTTGGTTATGTTTTCTAAGTACCCACTCAAATCTCTCGCTTAGTTTTCTATTGGATTATATGTCTTTTTGCTGTTGATTTGCAAGAGTTCTACATGTTGCCCTAACCGGTTTGGCTCAGTGGATAGAGCATCGGCCTGCGGACTGAAAGGTCCCAGGTTCGATTCTGGTCAAGGGCATGTACCTTGGTTGGGGGCACATCCCCAGTAGGAGGTGTGCAGGAGGCAGCTGATCGATGTTTCTCTCTCATCGATGTTTCTAACTCTCTATCCCTCTCCCTTCCTCTCTGTAAAAAATCAATAAAATATATTTAAAAAAAAAGAGTTCTACATGTTTTCTGTTTAGGAGTTCTTTGTTTGCTCTATGTGTTGTGAAGATCTTCTTCCATTCTGTGGCTTGCCTTTTTGCTTTTAAATGGGGTTCTTAATGAGCAGGAATGACTAATTTTAATATAGTTCTGCTTATTAATCTTTTCCTTAATTGAATTTGCTTTTTGAGTCCTGTTTTTTTTTTTATAAAGAAACCTCTGTCTATCCTAAGCTAATGAAGATGTTCTTCTAGATTTTTTTTTAAAAGCTTTGCTTTTTACATTTAGATTATAATTCATCTGGAGTTGATTTTTGTGTGTGGTATGAGATAGGCTCACATTTTTTTGTTTTGTTTTTCTCATGGATATCCATTTGATTTATTATTATTTATTGAAAAGACCATTCTTTGTCATAAATCAAGTATTCCTATATGTGTGGATCTGTTTATGAATTCTTTATTCTGTCCTATTGCTCTACCTGCTTATTCTTTTTAAAAAAAATATATTTTATTGATTTTCTACAGAGAGGAAGGGAGAGGGATAGAGAGTTAGAAACATCGATGAGAGAGAAACACCGATCAGCTGCCTCCTGCATACTCCCTACTGGGGATGTGCCCACAACCAAGGTACATGCTCTTGACTGGAATCGAACCTGGGACCCTTCAGTCTGCAGACTGACGCTCTATCCACTGAGCCAAACCGGTTAGGGCTACCTGTTTATTCTTGCTTCAATACTACCTTGTTTTATGTAATGTAAATTTTAAAAAGTCTTGATAATCTATTAGGGTAAATCCTTAAACTTTGCCCTTTCAAGATTATCTTGGTTATTCTTGAATCTTTCATATTCATATTCATATGACAATCAGATTATCAATTTCCACAAAAAAAAATCTGCCAGGATTATAATTGAAATGATATTGAAAATGAAAATGAATTGGGAGAGAACATCTTTTTAGCAAAAAGTCTTCAAATCCAGAATATCACACCATTTATTGAACTAGTCTTTAATGCCTAGAAAATATTAATTTGATCTCTAGTTAAAGAAGTCAGATTAAAGGTTACTTGGGGTTGGTGGGGAATGATAGGGAAGGTACTACAGGGGAATGTAGGAATGAGTGCATGCATCTATTAAAACTTACAAAATTCTACACTTAAAATGGAATCAATTTATCATCAATAAAGTCAATATTTAAAAAGAGAACCACTCAAACACAGTAAAATAGCTGAAATTAAAAAGACTAACAACACCAAATGATGGTGAGGATTTAGGAGCACTGGAACTCTCATACATTGCTGATATGAATGTAAAATAATACAACTACTTTGGAAACAGTTTGACAGTTTTATATAAAGTTAAACACACACTTACCATACAATCCCACAGTTCCACTCTCAGGAATTTGACCAATAGAAATAAAAACATATGTCTACCAAACACTAGTACTGCTTTCCACTTATCCTTTACTTTTAGTTGAGACATTTAGTTGTTTCATCCAGGAAGCTTTTCTGAGCCTTCCTCAACTCTTGATTGTGTGGCTCTTCTTTGGACACTTAGCATCATTCATTTAACAAATAAACATTGAGTGTCTTTTATGTGCTGGAACTGTGTTAGGCAATGGGATTAAGAGGTGAACAAAGTTGATAACATTTCTTCCATCATGGAGCCTACAGTCTAGTGAGAAAGGCAGACATAAAACAAATAATCACCAAATAAGTAATTAGCAGTTATATGAAGGAATAGTACATGGTTTTATGTGAGAGCCTGGATGGGGGTTGATCAAAGGAAAGAAAAATTAAAAAGTATATTTAACAGAAGCCCTTATGATTATTAAGATGTAGGCAGACAAAGAATGGGGAAACCGCATTGCAAAAGATAAAGTGTTTTCAAAGGCTCTAAGTAAGAAATAGAAGAACTTGATGTCTCTGAGGAATGAAGAGGCAGGCCCATTTTGGTTGTAGTATTAGCTCATTATACAGATGAGGAACCTGAGGCTCCGAGGTTCAGTGAATATAGATAGAATATACTAAGGTCATCAATGTAGTAAATGGGTAATAAATGGGTGAGTCTAGATTCAAACTTTGAATTTTATAAATCCTTAGTGTTCTTTCCATTATACCTTGGCATTCCCTAGTGAAATTTGTACAAAATCTTTCCAACTATGGTACTTTGTTTCTTTTCCAATACCATAGAACATTCTCTTACCATTTTCTATTTTTTAGCAAAGTACATATTGTATGTGGAATTATTGCTGTCAACAGAAAAGGGATAATTGACCTGGCACTAGGCAGAGATGCTTCCATTGAATTTGTGGCTTTGAAAACTGATTTTAGCATTTAACTCAAAGGAGTAATTGAGCCTCCAGAGTTGTCAGGGCTATGGCATCTGCTGTGTACATTAATCTGTGGATCTCTTTGTGTGTGTGTGCGTGTGTGTGTGTGTGTGTGTTGGCCAGTAGAGCATTACAACTCTCAAACTTCATAGCAAGCCTCTTATACTCTACTAGAGGCCCAGTGCACGAAATTCATGCACTTGGGGCAGGAGGTGTTCCTCAGCCCAGCCTGCACCCTCTCCAATCTGGGACCCCTCAGTGGATGTCCGACTGCCGGCAGTCAGACATCCCTGTCACAATCTGGGACTGCTGGCTCCCAACCGCTCTCCTGCCTGCCTGCCTGATTGCCCCTAACCACTCCCCTGCCAGCCTGATCGACACCTAACTGCTTCCCTGCCGGCCCGATTGCCCTCAACTGTCCTCCCCTGCCGGCCCGGTCACCCCCAACTGCCCTCCCCTGTTGGCCCAGTTGCCCCCAACTGCCCTCCCTTTCAGGCCTGGTCACTCCTAACTGCCCTCCCCTGCAGGCCTGGTCACCCCCAACTTCCCTCCCCTGCTGGCCTGGTCGCCCACAACTGCCCTCCCCTGCCGGCCATCTTGTGGTAGCCATCTTGTGACCACATGGGGGCGCCATCTTGTGCAAGGGCGTGATGGTCAATTTGCATATACCCTCTTTACTGTATAGGATTTTATTTCCATTCAACAGTATAACATTGTAAACTTGACCCACCTCTAGCAAATATTCAAGTTAATATTTTACAAAATACTTAAACTCCTTTTGATGATTGCTTTCCAGATAGCTGATAAAACATTGAAATGTTGGCTTTATTTCTTTTCCATTTTGATGTGTACATAGATGGGGAAAGGGAGGGAAAAAGTTGTTATGATGCAAAGATGAAGTTGGATAGGACATTATTTTCCTCCAGACAATCTTCTCTATGACCCTGCAGTGAATTGCCCACAATCTAGGAGGTAACAGCCTGCTTGCTTAGAAGTCTTCAAAACTTCCATGTCATGTCACTTTTGTGCAATGTTGTAAGTAATTGGTGTCTTGTTAGCTTAAGACCAATTTTAGGAATCTATAATAATAAAAGCATAATATGCTAATTAGACAGGACAGCTGAACGACCTTCCGGACGTCATTCCAGACCTCCTTCCGGACAAAGCCACGGTGGCGGGGGCCATGGCAGAGGCAGAGGCAGTTAGGGGTGATCAGGCAGGCAGGCAAGTGGTTAGGGGCAGTGAGGCAGGCAGGCAGTCGGACATTCCCCAAGGGGTCCCGGATTGCGAGAGGGTGCAGGCTGGATTGAGGGACCCCTGCCCCCCCCCCCCCCTCCCCCCTGCCTCCTTTTGTGATCTGATAAAATTGTGGTGTTGTGTTTATCAAAGAACTTTTGCCCCTATGCTTTTCCCTTTTACATGTTCTTTTGAAAAAAAAAAATATATTTATTGATTTCAGAGAGGAAGGGAAAGGGAGGGAGAAATAGAAACATCAATGATGAGAGAGAATCATTGATTGGCTGCCTCCTACACCCCCCCACTGGGGATCGAGTCCACACCCAGGCATGTGCCCTGACAGGTAATCAAACTGTGACCTCCTGGTTCATGGGTTGACGCTCAAACCCTGAGCCCACAAGTTAGGCCCCTTTTAAATGTTCTTAAAAAAAAAAAAATAGTGATTATAACATGAAAGAATGAATTTAGTTCCTGTGCTAATTTAAAAAATTCTTATTGGAGCTTTTCATTTGTGATTTTTATATCTTGTTCTTTTCAACCTGAGGAAGAAAATAATATTTAAAAGATTACATAAAGGTACTGAGTTTACTTATTTTGATATCCTTAATCATTGGTTTTGTGGGCGTTTTGCTTGAATGAGGACTGTGGAATTAAGCTTTTTTTTAAACTCAAAATTTGGGAGTATTATTATGCCAAACACATGTTTTAAAATTTTTCTAAAATAAGATTTTATTATAGAGAAATAGAGGAAAATTTCATAGATAATATTTTGTATCATTAAGGAAACATTTAGCATTTTGTTTAGACTTTTCAAAATGTATTTTTTCTCTTACAATGTTCACCGCCCCACTGTGATCTACCCCTGAACAATTTTTTGTTTCTGTTTGCAGGCAGCTATCAATGGTGTAATACCCCAGGAAAATGGCATTCTACAAAGGTATGTTATAAGGTGTTTAAAGGTAAGATGGGAATTTAGCAAAGCAAAAAAGAGACATTTGTTAATTTTTTGGTTTCACTTTTTGGTAGAGCATTTGACCTTTGGTGTATAAGTTCATTTTAATATAGTTATTATTCTTTCAGATATTTTTTATTAGTTATATTTGCTAAAGTGTCAACTTTCAACCATATAATGTTATTTCAGATTGTGTGATATCTTTAAAGGTGGTTTTATTTTATTTTTAAGAAAGCTTTTCTAGATCATCGTCTAATTTATAAGATGAAGGAACCGAATCCTTTAAACCATTGGTAGTGAGAAAACAATACATGGTTGAATAGTGTCAGAGCATGGTTATCATCTACCTATACAGGTTTTATCTCCAACTTCACTACATTCTTTTTTTTCTTTCTCTTGGTTTCTATATTAAGTACATGATAACTTGCCATAATTTCAGTAAGTCCTAAAAATGAAACTTCCCAGAGCACTGAACTTCTTTACCTGAAGAATCCAGTATTGACATGTGGAATGATCTTCGTGGCTTTGTGTCATTGCCAGAAGGTAAAATTGGAAGATGATGCCAAGAGATCTATAATTGTTACAAAATAACTTCTTTAATTAAAAATACACTTGTAGCTTTTCTCTCCTTAAAATTGGAGACTTTCTAGTTTTGAATTAAAAGAGCACTCTATAAAGTCATAGGAGGTAAAACCATTCTCCCTTCCAAATGTAGTTTAATTGCTTGACATCCCTTCCTCCCTTTTCTCAATTCAAACTTTGGCTTGAATTTTGGTGGCTGGGATTTCTAAGTCACTGAAGCGTGATCTGCTAAGTGCAGATGAGGCAAACAGAAACAGCAGACTAGAAATGAGGTTGTTTTGGAGAGAAAGAAAAGTGCTATTGCAAAAACATAAAAAATTTCACAAGGAACAGCAAAATGTGCTGTACTTATAGGAAACTGTGTATATTTAGAAAGGAAGCAAAATTCTGTTTGATACCTGTATCACCCTTTGATTAATGGTTTTTAGGTGAAAGCAATGATAAATGGACCTATCCTTTCCCCCTTTTAAAAAACTGCCAGAGTTTCATCCAGAGTAAATATAGCTCATTTCCAAAGCCTGTGCTTAATTTTTTGTTTAATCTTTTTTTTTTTTGCTTCTAAAGCATTTAATTCTAACCTTGTCTAGAAAGCAAACCAGATGATTATAGGAGCCTCCTTCATGATATTTTTTCTTCTTGGTTTAGAAAGTTTTAGACTGCAAAATACATTCCAGTTTTATTCTTGAGTAAATGTTATTTTGTTTTTTGTGCCAAAATTTTTGCTTGCTAAACCCTTGTGGATTCAGCTGCTGGGTTCTGAGTACATACTGGATATATCTTACATTTAATGGTATTTGCTATGGGTGAAAGAACTGTAGAAATTCTCTTATCCCTGGAAACATCCCATCTCCCTTGTTGCCGGTGATACTTTTTGCTTAATATATTTTACAACTAGAGATTTATGAGTGAATTGATTACTATGTAATTGGTTACTGTGATATTTGGGATGTAACTTTCATCAGAGTGGGTTGTTTTTGTTTGCTTGTAAAATGAGAGGAATTAATGATGTCCACAGAAGAAAATCAGTTGTGTCTAGTTACAGTCTTCAATTATTTTCCTTCCTACTAACTTTTCTTCTTCAGCTTTGAAATCACTGTGGATTCGATATAACTGAAAATTATTCTGTATGGCTAATGAGCACAGGAAAATGAAAGAGGGCTTTTTGCACTTACTCATAGGCTTAACACTGAAAGTGGAAGACACAGTGCTAGGAATGGTATATGTTGGCAGTTAAAAGGATATTTGTATTGTATGTTTGATATTTATAATAAAGTTGAGTATAGTCTGTGAATACAAGTGACTCTTAATTTGTCAGTTTATACATTAACAGAGAAAAGAGTTACTAACAAGAGTTTAAACAAACAAACAAACAAAAGAATTATTTTTGGAGGGAGAAGAGCCCAATCCCTCTGCTTTATAAAATTTTTTGAAATCAGATTTTTGTGTGAATTTAAAAGTGGGAATATGGTTTTTAATGTATCCGTAAAGTTTACGGGCAAAAAAACAACTTTTTTTAAAAAATAATTTTTTATTGATTTCAGAGAGGAAGGGGGGGGGGGAGAGAGAGAGAGAGAGACATCAATGATGAGAGAGAATCATTAATCGGCTGCCTCCTGTATGCCCCACACTAGGGATCTAGCCCACAACCCCGATATGTGCCCTGACTGGGAATCGAACCGAGACCTCCTGGTTAATAGGTCGATGCTCAACCACTAAGCCAAGCCGGCTGGGCAACAACATTTTTTTTAATGTTTAACTGACTGTGCTAGGTAATTGACATATTTTTCCTTATTTAATACCCATTACAAACGTTAAGAGGTAAATGTGTTTGTGTAGCATAGATGAGGAAACTCAATGTTAGAGGGTTTACATAGACTCATTCAAGGTCACAGGCGTAGTAGGTAGTGAAATCTGGATTGTTATCTTTTAAAACCCATACTCTTTTATATCACTCTGTCCTCTTCAAGGTCAGGAAGCCAGTCATGTCACAACTTCTGTGTTAAGATTTTTTTACCTTCGGTAAAAAAGTTGAAATTTAATACATGTATATAACACCTTTCTCCCACAGCTTTGTTTTTACAGTTATTATTTTAGTTGTAAGCAAGTAAAGGCAGATTATTATCCCTCATTTTACAGGTAGAAAGAATAAGGCATGAAGTGACCTGGCCCAGATGATACAGCCTGATGTTGATGGAGTCAGGAATATAAGCAAGTCTTCTGTCTCACCCTCCAAGGCTTATTTCACTAGACAATATGTTGCTAATAAAACATATTTATAAAGTGTGTAACTTATGCAGTCACAAATGTAAATCATTCATTTAGTCAGTCATAAACACCTAGTGAGTACATATATAGCTATTACATCTTGGTATAATATTTTATATATTTAGCATATTGTCCAGAGTCTGTTTAAAAATTATTTTTGGAGATAGTTTATTGTTAGAAAGAAGTGCTGATGAATAAAAAGTAATTTCTAAAAGAGAGACGATTACATGTTTTCTCAAATTTTATGAGTTAATAGTTTAATTTTACTCATTAATTAAATGGGTGGTACTTATCAGTTCATATTTATTTTATTACCCAGACAGGTGTACTGTATATTTTTTTGCCCATTGTTTAATTCATTGAGAAAACCTAGAGAAGACAGGACTTGTTTTCAAACCTTGACCATTATGCTTTCAGAATATATAAATGTCAGCATTTTCTGATTTAGAAAACATCCGTTTTGGCTGATTAGTTTCTATTTACTGTTTTCTCTGATGCCCATTTAAAATATTTGATTCTTTGCTGAAGACAAGTTTATCTTTTAAACATGTATTTTTTGTACCTAGAGATTTTACCATGAGATAGACTTTTAAAAATTGAAATAAACAAGTGCAGAGTTCCTGTTTACTTTGCTGTTGTTCACTGCCTTTCAAGGACCTGTGTGGGTTGTAGAGGAAAGTTGAGTAAGGATAAAAATACTCCTCTAGTTGAAGTTTAGGTCTAAAATAGATTTCTCTATATATTTTCCTTACCAATCAATGTCCTTTTAAAAATTATTTAAAACATTTTAAAATTTATTTTAAATTACAGTTTACATTTTAAATTCTTGATTAATTAGAAAAGAATATTGAGAAGGTCAAATTAAAGGATGGTAGTCTTCATCCTATAATGAAAATATTAAAAATACTTTTTTTGAATGAACAATTTTGGATGCCCTTGCACTATTTGGATGTCAGTGAACATTAGTCAAAACTGATAGGTTCATTCATTAACTAATAGTCTCTCTCTTTTCCTCTCAGTTTTTTTGATTGCTAGTGAAAAACTCTAGTTAAATTCATTATCTTTCCTTGATTCTGAAATGAAGTAATTATAGCCAGTAAGCAAATTTCTCACATGATAACTTAAAAAACACCTCTTTGTGGCTGACAACCACACCCAATAGCCTGCTCTGATTAGAAATGTTAAGTTATTTCCTAAAGTTAGGGTTTGGAAAAGAGTAGAAAAGCACACTAGGAATTTCAGAGGGAATTTCTTATGGGGAATCAATTACACAGATATGGAGCAGGTTGAAAGAACAAAAGGGGATACCAACCAGTACAATCCAAATATAATGACTACAGGAAATACCTGGACCACCAGTGCCAGATGGAGGTGGGTTCTGCTGGTCAACAAGGAAGGGACCCTAGGGCTAGAGTAGACTTGCAGTTACAGCATCCTGTGAGAAGGGTGATAGAGCCAGGACTGTGTGGGTGGGGTCCAGGGCACCCACTCCAGGAGGCCTGCTCCAGGACAGGTCTGCCTGGGAGAGACCCCCGCTGACCACTGACGGTCACTCCTAGTACTGGTGGGAAAAAGAAAACAGGTTGGGAGAAGTTGAGGTTAACAGAACTTTGAATTTCAGAGGAAGGGCCCTAGGAATTTGGCTCCAGACATATGAGAAAGAATTCCTCCTTAGCTGATACTTATACATCTGACAGGATGCAACCCCCCCCCCCCCCCCCCCCATTGAACGAAGCTAGAAGCTAACACCAGTGGCTGATGCTGGAACAAAATCAGATGCCATTGTTATGGTGCTGTCACTTCTAGTGTGATGCAAACTGTAAGAAGAGAATTGTGTGTGTGTGTGTGTGTGTGTACACAGCCCGTGTTTCTGTTACTGGTCATAAGGCCATGGTTGATATTTACCAGTTTCTTCTTCCACTATTTATTCTATATTTCCTCTGCCAGCACCTCAAATACTCCAGATTCTTTACCTGGTGGGACATCTCAAACTTTCATTCTTGAAGAATTAGAATCCTTAGTGGTCCTGTCTTTAAAAAATAAAAAGGTTGTAGTTTTCCATAACTCTTATTATTGGACATACCACAGAAAATAGTCCATTGTGTAGCAGAAACCTATTTTTTTTCTTGGTAATCAGGACCAGTCATTCCAGCTAGTGCTTCCTCCTTTGCTAGTTGAATCAGTAGCATGAGGCCAAGGGACATTCTTAAATTCTAATTCAGTGGGAGAACTGTGAAAACATTACATACCTGGGAACTATGATCTCTGAACCACCTAAGCAAAAGTTTGGTAAGTTATTAGGCATAATAGGAGGAACCACCACCACTTAATTCTCATACCCATGTTTTCTGGCAGCATGAGAAACACCACTGTTTGGTCAATGATGAAATCATATACCTCATCCTTTTAGGTGGAACACCAAGCTTTGAGGGTGTTGTCTCCCAACCTGTGCCATAACTCTTTAGCAGGTCATTCCACTGTTCTATCAAGCTAGTTACTTCTGGTATATGCAAGTGATACCAGTGCTACACTTCTTTTGCTTTGAAATGAATTCCTGGTTAGAGCCAGTGTTGTGTTGGAAGCCAGAGAGCAATAAGGCATTTTCTAAATGCATGATTGGTGGTGCTTGGAGAAGCATTGCTGCCAAGGAAGTTAATTTCATATTCAGAAACTCTTTTTAAGTGAGAACATATTGCCTCCTCCATGCTAGAAATGATCCATTACCAGATTCCTGAGAAATGGTTCCATATTGGTCTTTTCGCTTGCATTTTGGACAGTAGTTTCTCTAGCCAGATTCAGACTTTGTGTTGGGGAGTTGATGTTATATCTATGCCTAACCT